GTCAGGGAATTTAGGGGTGTTAATTACTCTCAAAGTAATACAATAAAATACCTGCATAATTAATCATCATTCACATGATGATTGATCAAAGAAATAGATTGATCAAAGAAAGCGACAGATGGGGTGCTGATTAACGACGGAGTTCAACGACCTATTAAATTACAAAGATTTTGTCCTGAGTACCTCCCGGTAGTTGCCTCCAACAATTGTGTATAGGGTTGACAACACAGACTTTTCAAGCAAATCTTTATCATTGAATAACTCAGAAACTATTACACTTAGATCAAAAAGACTTTCAGTACAATTAAGTACATATTTAAGACTCGCACAACAGAAAAAAAGATCAAACAAAGTCCATACAAAAATGATAAAATTAAATTCTAAGGTAAACTACTCGCCGATACAAAATAACCATGTTACGAAAGTAACGAAATAGGCATCGCTGTAGGTAACGTTATTAGTAAAACATGGAACAGTGCGCGTGTTGTGTAGTGTGCGTTTACTTCAAATCCCCAAAGAGAAGTGGCTTAATAATTCGCTTACGTCCCATTTGCGTTGACTATTTTATACATGGCGACAAGATTTATTAGGCCACGCCGTGACTGCAGCGACAGAGGCTGAAATGCTCCAAAATATGGTGGGCAGCTTACGTGTTGTATGACCGGCCGTCATTATAGTGTTATATCGAATTTAGAACTTAACCCGTGTAATGAAGCGCTGCACGACATACCATTCCGTTCCTGTACGTCTGGTGCACCGTAGGCAACAATTGTTGAGTAGCTTACGCGGACCTATAAATTCTTTCACCACGATGCAAGCATTACAGTGTATACCATCGATACGATGTGAATGTCACTGTTCAGGACGAAAACGTGTTCGCGCCCATATGATTTATAATATTGTAATTTATTATTGTAATTTATTATTGTTAATTTCGTTTAAGATTTTGGTAAATAAACGAGAGGGAGAGAGGGGTCTTGCTTGGAGTCTGTAGGGTTCTCCCGTCCCGCTCCTGCATTGGTGCCGTCCCGCTCGCACACTTGAATAGAATGCGAGCGGCACGGCGGGCCAGCGATGATATAAAATGCGGAGCGTTGGGAGCGGAACGACATTCCAAAACTGACTGCATAAGAATCCGAAGGCGTTCCAAATCTCACCGCGATCCAAGCAAAACCAACATCAAGAAGCTCAATTTACAACCAGGCGTTTTTCACTTAATCCGCCCCCACAGTCACTTGATATTGTAAAAAAAGGAAATATCATTTCGGTTTTGTTACATAATATATGTAAATCTATAATAATATAAATAAATCAATTTATCTCTTCCTTAGTAGAAACCTGTGACTGTTATAAATTATATTTATAAGATCTTTTTACTATAATAAATGTAAAAATATAAAATATATAAAAAAAGAAAACCACTGAAAAACCTTATTGGTTTTCTTTTTTTTTATATTTTATATAATAAGTTAGGTGAATTGTGCAACCAGATTCCTTATTATGTTTTTATTTGTGAGGATCCTTAACTAGCTCTCGGTAATTATTATTATTATTTTTTTATTTAGTTTTGAGTTGTTGATCTTCCTTTAAATAAATAAATAAATCTAAACAAAAAACAAATTCACGTCTCTTCTGGTCTAAGATATTTTTCGTAATGGCGGCCGCCCGTCAGCGTCCCGTTCTATTTCGACTCATTCTTAATGAAACAAAGTAAGTTTTCTAACAAAATAAAATAAATTAATGTCACTATTCGCTAAGAGACGGCCATTCTGTTCAAGGAATGTTTTCATTCCGGAATAAGCTCGGTCATCCGACGTGTGAAGAGTATGTCCTTATATAGAAATATTTATATACTATATAAAGAACGTAAAATGTCTACGAAATACTATGACGACTGACGAAATACTTTCATAGATGGCGCTACTGCTAAAAAGTCGTTGGAAACCAAATACAAAGATCCGATAATAAGCACACAGAAAAATTCGTCAGGTCCGCTTAGTTGTAGGTCCGTGGCTTAGTTGGCATAGCGTCTGCCACGGTTTGTTAGGAGACATCGGTTCGAATCCGGCCTGATCGAAGGAATTTTTTCTAAGTATTCAATCTTTGCATTAATAATTATAACAAATTATTTCTACAGGAATTGAAACTATTTTTCCGGATTTAAATCGCGTTTATTTGTTTTTTCAAACAAACCAACGTTTCGGGCGCTTTACAGGTCCCATGGTCACAGTTGTTTTATTTCTATTTTTATTATATTAATTATAACTATTTTGTACATTGCCTAATGGAACATGCGGCATTGTAAAGAATAATGTAACGTACAAACGCATCCCTTATTTCCAATAGGTCTGCTAAGAGGAAAACTATTGGCCTCTCCATGTATTTTAGACTATAATAATAATAATAATAACGCACACACTCAACATAAAAAACACTCAAAATAAAAAAAAAGTTAGACAAGTAGGCATTTTTTTTATTGAACAGGTGAGTCATTCCCGTAGATATTGTTTATTTTCTTAAGCCACTACAAAATAACATCCTGTATTGCTTGCTGACCAAAAGAACCGATGAAAATAATCGAAGACGTCCAGCAAACCTTCTTCCAATTTTGGCTTAATTTCACTTGCACTCTTTGTGTAAACTGATATCTTAACTTATTTTTTTGTATAACGCATACACTCAACATAGCCCCGCACTAGGAAAACCTTTTTGCACATGGAAAACTTGTTATTCTTTTTAGAATTTACTATGCAAAGGCGAACGGACAAAACATTTTTGAATACGTGGAAGTATAAAGGGCGAACATCCATATTTTCCAATTTTGTTTCATTGATTTATAAATTGTCGTTTGAAATGTTACACAGTGGACGGTTTCCTAAATCTCTGCCAATTTCGTTATGTTACATTAACCACTTATTGTCAGAGTTTCAGATTGTCGTGCCCAATATTCAGCCACGTGCATGCCTTAGGTGGTCTCGTGCACTTTGTATGAACTTATATTGGTTATTTTGGTCATCTGTATAAATTCACCTTGAAATGTCAATAAAAACGATCCTTTATAGAGTGATAAAATAGGTTTTATAAGCGTAAAAATGGAGTAAATATATTTTTATGTCGTTCTGTAAAGGGACGTAGCTGTGGGTTAGCGTAGCGAGAGGCACATTTCAACGAGAAACGAGGATTATATTCATAAATAAAACTTTAATACAGACGAAATAAGCCATGTATTCCTGGTAACACATTAGCGATACAGCTCTTATAAATGTCAACTCTCGTTCGCACTGAAATATAGACAGGCCAACTACTGACCTGTCTGTACGTCTCCGTATATTCTTAAAAATATTCTGTATTTATTGTAATAAAGATAATATCTCTAACAATGCCGTGCGGTTCTACTCGGTGGTGTGGGAAACACAGCAAAACATTTTATTACAAAACAAATGGAATCACATTTCATCGGTAATTAAATATTAAATATGTAATTTTGCAAGGTTCGTTCATTATAGCAAAGCTCAAGTTAACTGGTCGATTTGAAGTGAAACAGTTGACGACACCCATTGACGACACCCGTCAATTGTTTCGAACTACAGTTGTCACAGTAATGATATGGCAGAATAGTTTTCTAACAAATTAAATGACATTTCGTCTCTATTTCTGGTTATATACTCGATGATTCAGATCGAAGCTTGTTCTAGTTCTAGAATATCTTGGTTGTTCAACCAAGATATTCTTTTTTTTACAATACTATTTTTTTTTAAATATATAATTCTAAATATAAACCTACATTCATTAAGCCAGCACTACTACAAACCATAATCCCTAGTCTACAGTTCCAAAACTGAGCTGGTCTTCAGAAAATCTCTCATATTTGAGATGACCCTTGCCCGCTAGTGTAATGTAAGCTGGCTTTATTGTATTTTTTTTATGTATATCATATCAAGTGACGGGACGAACAAGTCGTTTGCCTGGTGGTAACCTACACGCCTTTCCATTACAGTTGCAGTGCCACTCAGATGTCGCAAGGTCCGAAGGGCACTGCTACTAGCCTGTCACCCTGGGACATATGTTGTCACGTCATATATGCCTGTAATTTCACCAGTACCCTTACCTTTCAAAACCGGAGTGCTGTAATGCTCACATTACTGTTTGGCGGTAGAAATATGTAAGTTGGCAGTTCTTCCTTGGACGAACTCTTTCACCGGGAGCTCTACTGCTACTAAATTGTGCGGATTAAACGCATTTTGTATGCACGGTAATAAAGTCTTATAATTGAGGCTATCAGTGCAATAGTGGCGTAAACCAAATTTTTTTTTTCTACAATATCACTTTCAATGAAACTAAAATACTTATTAATTATTTATATTGGGATACTATTTTTATGTATAAAAAAAGACTATTAATTAAATCTTTTTTGTACATAAAAATAGCATCCAAATATAAAATAACTTTTTTGTTATTCTATATTTATGATTGGTCGTCATTCGAATTTCAATCGTGATAGTGGATGGTTGGTACCCGTCGGCTGGAAAACTGTGTTAGGTACTACGTCAGCGGTTAGTATAGACAAGACTTTAGAAAGTGACGTTGTTAGTGTAGTGTGCAATCCTGCATATTACTTTAATAAATATTAAGCACACGAGGGTAGTTTTTCGCCGACGACGCCTGCGCCCGCAGCCGTACTGAGTGATCGTGCTGCCAGAATTGCTTCGAAACACGTCGAGCAACAATTCGACTTAAATACGTGAGTCATCCGTTATTTTAGTTAATATAAAATAACTATGTGCTTTCGTATCATTTAAAACAATATTCTAGAAAAAAATTGAATGTGGGCTACACCACTACTATGCTTATAGCCTCAATTAAGAGACTAAAACCATACCACTAATGTAATATAATTGCTGTGTAACTCGATGTACGCTTATAAATTAAGGCAAAAGCTAATAATTGATTGGTTCCTATGGCACCAAACGAGTATAAATAGGACACGACGATAGTTCAATTAGGTACATCACTACAGTGACCATGGAGGGAATACGTTTTATTAGTGTTCAGTTGATATTCTTCGCATTCTGTTATTACACTTATGTAAGTAAATCATGTTTACTATTTTGAGATCAAAGTCGATATTTAAGTTTGTATAACTGAAAAATGGTGGAGTTATCCGTCACCTTAATTTGTAAATTATGTTCATTTGTAAACATCGAGTATATAACCAGAAATAGAGACGAAATGTCATTTAATTTGTTTGAAAACTATTCTGCCAAAACATTACGGTGACAACTGCGCTCCCATTGGCCAGCCCGAATTCGAAACAATTGACGGGCGTTGTCAATTGTTTCACTTCAAAACGACCAGCTTAACTTGAGCTTTGCTATAATGGACGAAAATGGAAAAATTACATATTTAATTATCGATGAAATGTGATTCTGTTTGTTGTGTAATTAGATGTTTTGCTGTTTTTCCCACACCACCAAACAGAACAGACCCCATTGTTAGAGATATTACCTTTATTACAATAAATACAGAATATTTTTGGAATATATGTAGACGTACACACAGGTCAGTTGTTGGCGCTGTACTGTTTCAGCTTTCTAATTTGTGATTTCAGCGCAAACAAGAGTTGATATTTAAAAGTAATATAAGGCCCATTTGGCTGATGACTTGCCAGAGATGGATGGCCCTTATTTCGTCTCTATTTCTGCTTATATAATAGATGTTTGTAAATGTTTAGAATATCTGGTGCTAATGGGGAAATAAAACATAATAATGGGACCTGCTTGTCGGAGACTATTCACAACCCTAGGAAAGCGTATGCAGTTATCGAGCTTCGTCTTAGAGGAGACCCATGTCCAGCAGTGAACTTTTTTTTAAGATACTTAGTGACGGGATGAACAAGTCGTGCGCCTGGCCATAACAGTTGCAGTACCGCTCAAAGGGCACTGCCACTGCGCCCGTCACTCTGAGACATAAGTTGAAAAGTCCCATGTGCCTGTGATTTCACCAGCACCCTTACCCTTCAAAACCTGAACATGGTAATGTTCGCATTACTGCTTGGCGGTAGAAATATGTAAGGTGGCAGTACTGCCCAGGACGAACTCTTTCCCAAGGAGCTCTACTGCTACTAAATTTATTTACTTACAACTGTTACACCTCAACTGGTACTGGTGGACAGTACTGTACATGCACCCGGGGCGGCTCAACCGAGGCACTAGCCTCTCGAAGAACCGGATGAAGTCAAGTGACCGAGGTCTGTGACAACCCTGTACACTGGCAGATCTGGGGTCCTGGCAGAACCTGCACTTGTAAGGTTCCTGTGCCCCAGGGTAGGTACGGAGAGTCACTATAATCAAAACTAACGTATAAAGATACGGAGCTGTTAAGTTTCAACTATTTTTGAGGTCTAATAGAACTTATTAGGCCTCAATAATGGTTTTCGTTCAGAAGTAGCTTTCTGTAGAATAACGGTATTTATTATTTTGGATCAGCAGGCTTAGCATGAGGCGACAGATAAAACTTAAGCGCGTAGAGACATCTCTCTCTTCTCTACCGATTATGTCTCAGCTCCGAGCTCGACGTAACAGGAAGAGATACTCTCTACCGTAGACAAAGTTTTCTCTACGCGTACTTTCTGTCTTCTGCCCCAAGGATAGGACAGATATTTCTTTACGACGAACTGTCCAAAGTATATAAAATTTGGCTGTCGTGCTACAGTTGGAGAGAAATTGTCTTCATTTGAAATTTATATGCGCGACAATTTAAACCTCATAGCGCTTATGTCTGTAGAGATAATTCGTAGTGACGTTATTTTCCGGAGAAAATTGACAATTCGAAGTAGAGATAACTTTGGTCTTCGGGCTCATGCTAAGCCTGGATTAAGCAAATGATAAGTTTCACATCCTAACCTACTTAACTTGCATAATGTAGTTTCCTCAAACACCTAAAAGTTAAAAATTGTTTTAGGCACAAAGTGACAGTAAGTGGACAATAGTCAAAGACCTCAAAACTCCAGAACTTGTGCGCGCTGCCAAAGAAGCTTTGGAGGTATACGGAGCCGAAAATGGCAAAAATTACACTTATCTTCAAGTGGATTATGCTAAGGAACAACTTGGACCTGGAAAACATTATAAAGCAATATTTGCCGCCGATTATGTTCCTAGAGAAGAGCATTACTACCTCGAATGTGTAACGTTTGTTTACCAAAGTCCGAAACCGAAACTTGATGTGATTGAAAGTATAGAGTGTCAACGTCTACCCAGAGTTAATGAGCGTTCAAAATAATGTCTATCGTGATAGACAGTGTACATCTATAGTTTTTTATTTTATCTGTACTTCAACATATAGAAAAATAAATTTTTGCTCTACTCTTAAATAGTTTCTTTAGTATTCGTTTTAAACACACTATTAATATAGAACAAGATTTTAGCTTAGCTCGAATTCCAATTTTATCCCGTACTGATCGGTTCTACTGCGCGGGTCGAACTACACTGGACACTGGTTTTATTTCAGAATTTATTTTCTTATAAACGAAACTAAAGCCTTCTGAAAAATGTATATCGTACGATAGCGTGTTCTATTTAGTTCAGTTGGTATAAAAAACATATGAAAAGTAGCTATTGAATACAGCGGTTTTCTTGTAAAATTCCGAGGTAAGTCTGTGTTTTATTTTCTACTATGATAATTTTTTGGAATCGTATTTTCGCACCGTATGACCGATTAAGTGTATATCCTCAACATATATATATTTTTTCCAAAGTCATTGATTTAATACTTTCACTGTTATGCGGAATATAAGCAAAGCCACTTGAGGTTGTATCGACAATTATAATTTCCGGCGATAAGGGGTCTGGCTGTTTATTGAAGACCATCTGTTTCATACATGACATCTCTTGGTTTGGATAATTTACTGAAAAGTACAAAAGATTAGGGAAGAGATTCAGGAAGTCACCACATTTACTGATGGGGAATCGGCTTGAAACGGTTAGGTTGACTACAGACGATGTGATTCAAGATATGCGAAACTCACAACATGTTTTTTGCTTTTGTTGCATAGATATAATTTTTTTTCTGACCAGTTAAACCGGTTTTGATTCCCTTAAGGGCTCATTCCCATTATGTCGTGACGACAGATAGTCGTGCAGTTTAAAGTGTCGAAGCTTATATATTTGAATGAAGAACAACACGATTAATTGTAGTTCATAACTTTTTTCACGTTACGACAACAGACTGTCGTGACAACGGGAAGAGCTAGAACGACAGTTGTCAGACGATAAATAAAACTTGACGACATAAATGTGCAGAGTCGTAGTAGTAGAGACGTAGTCGCAGCTTCTAACGATTCTGTCGTGCAATCGACAAGGCGGCTACCGTGAACTGATAAATTGTCGTCTTCTACTACTGTCGGAACAGTTAGACACGACAGTCGTTCAACGATAAAATAAACGTCGACGACACAGTCAACATAGACAGTCATGACATGGGCACGGGCTAGACACGACAGTCGATCAACGATAAATAAAACTTTACGACATAATGGGCACGCGCCGTAAGTTGTATAGTTTTTTACTATTGACATAAATGCGGATAACAGAACGACATTTTTTCTTAACAGGCGAAAAATCTGTAATATTACATTCAGATAATATGTACTATGGTCGCATACATCTACTTGGTACTTGGTGCAACGGGCTAGTATCTGCAACTCGACGACAAGGCACCTATTGGTCGCATACATTCTTCGGTATAACGCCGCTCACGCTTTTTATACCTTACGTAATACGTTACCAACTGTTCACCGGCCACTATCTATCGACCAGAGAGATGGGTATTTCTGAGAGACTACGGGCTCAAATACTTTAGGTAACAACTCCAAGCAGTTTTTTGTATAATACGAAGTGACGGGACGAACAAGTCGTGCGCCTGCTGGTAAGCGACACGCCTATACATAACAGTTGCAGTGCTACTCAGAGAGCTTTAAATCGCAAAGAACTTAGAGGCCCTGACATTGCGCCTGTCACCCTGAAACATAAATCGACTAGTCTCAAGTGGCAGTAATTTCACCATCAGCCTTCCAAACCGGAACACAGTAATGCTGACATTACTGCTTGGCGGCAGAAATAGGTAAGGTCGCAGTACTTCCCTGGACGAACTCTTTCACAAGAAGCTCTACTGCTACTAAACAATTAGCAGAAGATTGTGATTTGTAAGTGATTAACACCTTTGCGAACTTTACGTTAAAGTCGATATTATATTAAAATTAGATTTCATGGTAATCTTTCATTGTAAGACCCAATGTTTATTGGAGATATTTTATCCTTATCATACATTGACTTACAAATAAATCGACGACGGGTCTAATACAAAAACCACGAAAAAAATGTCCCAAGTCAACCTATTTAAACGTAGTGACATGTAAAGGAATATGAAAAAGCTAAAACGTTGAATTTAAATTGTAATGTCATCGCAGTACTGTCTAATTTTGCTTTCTTCGCTGTCAGTCGAACAAACGAAGACTAAAGCGTGAATGACGCTCTGTATACGATTTTAACGCCCTATAAGTTCGGACACTTTTTAGCGCGGACCCGACGTCCATATAATTGTAAGTCAATGTTATCATATCAACTAGTACTATGTAATATTGAGACTTTAATTTTTGCATTTTTAATTGGTTCGATTCCCTGCTAAGGCAAGCTTTTTAAAAACTCTGTGAATGTTGTTAATCATAAAAATAATTAAAAGTATGTTTATTTTATTTATCCGTTGCCAAAAAAGCTTGGCATCCTTTCCAAGGTGAGGCGTTATTTCACACCGAGACAGTTGCTTCAGCTGTACCAAGCACAAGTCCGGTCGTGTATGGTGAGATGGCTCTGCTAAATACCTACTGGCCACTTTGGATTTAATCGACAAGCGTGTCAAGAGGCTTATAGGTCACTCGAAATTAGTAGAGGCGAAGCTGCAGAGCCTTGAACACCATCGTAAAGTTGTCTGCGTATCGGTATTTTACAGGATATATCACGGAGAGTGTGCGATGGGATTGCATAATTTAATTCCTCCTTCCCCTTTCTATCACTTGGGGAATAGACGTAGGCTGAGGTTCCATCCCTATGTTGTGGATATTTCTAAGATTGGCGCGAAGCGTTTCGCTTCCACATGTATATGGCGAGCGGCTAGAGAGTGGAATTCCCTGCCTGCGGACTTATTTCCCGAACGCTATAACTTGGGCATTTCAAGGCGAGAGTGAATAGGCATTATTTAGGTACACTGTCCATCAGGTGAGAGGTCAAATGCGCACTTATTTTTTTATATATATAAATATCCTGTATATTGTCGATAATATCAGTGGATAAACTTAATTGATACTGAAAATCTTAGTTTTATTAATTTAATTAATAAAAAAAAACGTGTTTTTTATTCCAAATTTTGTAATGTTATAATTAAACCCAATACCCTGGTGTTTCCCATGCTCATACTGAGTTTTCATTCTGCCTTCTACACTAACTTTACTTACATACATAAATAGGTATTTCACGCTAGTTAGGAGAATAAAATACGTAATATAAAAATTGTAATTACATTTGTGACGTCAATATATTCGTTGATTGGTATCCTACTTAATAATATTAATTTTTTTATATTCAATTGTTCAAGGGCAACCTTAATTTATGTTTTTGGGCTCTCCTGTAAAATTTTGTATAAAGCACATTTTTTTTAATGAAATGTAAGTGCTCATTGACCTCCATCTCACCCGATGGAAAGTGACGATGAGGACGATCGAGCACACCTAAGTAATACCTATTCACTCTCGCCTTGACAATGTCCAAGTTCTATAACGTTCAGGGAACAAATCTGCAGGCAGGAAATTCCACTCCATAACCGTTCGCCATTTAATGTGGAAGCGTAGCGCTTTGTGCGGATCTTTGGAATATCCACAACATAGGGGTGGTTACAGTATACAGTTTATTTTTATGTCGGTCCACAACCGCATTGGTCCAGGGAAAGCCCTTACCGTTGAAGTAACCCTTGCCCAACATTTTTTTTTACAATACCTAGTGATGGAGGAATAACTTTATAACAGTTGATAGCCATTCACAGCTTTAAATAGCAAAGATATGAGGGGAACTGCCACTGCGCCTGTCACCCTGAGACATAAGTTGACAAGTCCCATGTACTTGTTAATTCATTAGCACCTCTACCCTTCCAAAAAACATTGTGAAGTACATGAGTTTAAGGTCACTAAGTAGTGTTAATGATTGTTGATCTAATTCTCTTTCTTACCGGATCTATTAAATGCATTTTGTATACGTTTGACACGGTAACGAAGTCGTGTAATTATGATACTAAATGGCATAACACGAATATAATGTAATTTGTGTTCGTTGTACATTTAATTGCTATATAACTCGATGTAGGCTTACAAATAAAGGCAAAAGCTAATAATCAATTGATTCCAGTAACACCAAACGAGTATAAATAGGGCACGGCGGTAGTTTTATTAGGTACATCGCTACAGCGACCATGGAAGGAATACGTTTTATCGGTGTTCAAATTATATTGTTCGCATTGTATTATTGCACTTATGTGAGTAAATTGTATTAAACTTCGTAAAACAGAAGAGTGGTGGTAGCCCAATGGGAGAACTGTTGCTTAAAACGTTCCCCTGTAAATTTGGCAATTTCGACATACGATACTTTACGTAGGAAGGGTCGAAGTATGAGGTCTGACGGCTCGAATCTTAATGGCGGTATATACCTGTCACCTTAATTTGTTAGTTATAAAAAAATATTTATTTGACAACGGAATTGTGTAGATACATAATAAAAATAAGAAATGAAATATAACACTAGAAACACAACCTGTTGCAGCGTAATTCACGCAAGGAGAATTGGTCTTGATTCCTGCACTAGGCTAAGCCTGCCTCGCAGGTAATCAATGTTTTTTCGTCACAAGTTAACAATTAGGCTCAACTCACACTGGCGCAGAGTCGTAGCGTCGCGTCGCGTCCTGTTTTTCAACTACACCGCTTGACGACGCGCGACGACACTCGCATTAGTGCCCCGGGATCACAGTTTGGTCGGCGTCTGACGCCTCACGGCGCCCAAGTGATGCGCGTAGTCGCTCGATTCCATATTTGCAAAATCCAAATTTGTACCTTACTAATGGGAAAATATAGATGAATATGCTATAGGCGAAAAACATGACGCGTCGCGACTCTCCGACTCTGCGCCAGTGTGAGTTGAGCCTTAGCGCAATAACAACAGAATACCAAAGACTAAGTTGATTATGGGTGGAAATGTGTATGTGCTTTGATGCAACGCATGCACGCATGTTTGTGCGTGTGTGTTAACTTCATCTTAGAGAAGATCCATGTCCAACAG